ATCATCATCATCTTTTTCATCATCATCACCATTATAATCATCATCATCTTCTTCATCATCATCACCACCATTATAATCATCATCAGATATATCTTCCACACGGTACGTACGTCAAAACGATGTTAAACGGCCCAATGCTAAACGTCTGGGTCGTGCCCTCTCCTAGAGATCTATATAACACTGAAGGTGAGATAGTGTAGTGGTTAGAGGCGCTTGATCCTGCCCTCGCAGTCACCGGGTTCGAATACAAGGAGATCCCCGGCGATCAATCATATACAATGTGTACGATGCGTTGATCAGGCTGAATCCAATACCACATGTAGCTGCGTGTGTGTTGTTGTTGGTACCATTGAGTGATAGGATAAGAAATTTAAGATTATTATTATTATTATTTTTATTATTATCATCATCATTATTGTTTTCAGGTCTTTGTGGCCAATACGATTGGTCAACTGGCCGAAATTTCAGGCTAAAAAACGGTACAATCATAACGTATGAACATCTTCATAATGGTGACGACGACGATGATGGTGGTGATCATGGTGATAATATTAATAATAATGATTATGATAATGGTGATGATGATGAGGAAGAGGAAGATAAGGATGGTGGTGGGTTTAGGATAGAACCGGATGAATTTATTGAAAGCTGGAGGTTAGAGTTGATGATGAAAGAACGAACTAGTGAGTGAGTGAGTGAGTGAGTGAGTGAATGAATGAATGAATGAATGAATGAATGAATGAATGAATGAATGAATGAATGAATTAGTGGATCAATAATGATAATGACGATTACAATGATGATGATAACGATGACTAACTCATCGCAGAGTAAACATGAAAAGTTCGGAGAGCATTTTTTATGGAACGAATCCAACAACAAAAAATTATCAACCTCCCAAATTTTGTGCATGCATGCAACAACAACAACATCAACAACAAAAACAATTTGACTATGAAAACAAATGCAGTCAGACGATAGATGTCGATCACTGCGATGTCTACGAAGGCTGGCTTTATATTTATATTAAAAATAGAATAAAATGCAATTTAAATTAGAATTAAATTTAAATCAAAATGAGATTTTTAAAGAATTAAACTTGATAGAATTTGTTATTATAAGAATTAACTCATGTAAATTTCAATCGATATTTTTGTCACGGTACTTTTAAATACCGATATTCGTATGTGTGTATGAGTGTGTGTATGTGTGTGCGTGCGTGTGTGTGTGTGTGTGTGTGTGTGTGTGTGTGTGTGGGAGATGTGTGTGTGTAACGTTTAACCAATTATTGAATGAATAATACTTTTAGGAGAAGATATCACCCAATGGCTTGTTCAGCACGCGGTTAAACAAAAATTAAAATTCAAAACTTCGACGACGGCCTCTTCTACAAACATTAAAACGTCTACAAGAAATTCATCACTGTCATCATCGTCATCATCATCATCATCATCTTCATCATCATCGTCATCTGGAACCATCGCCAAACGATCAATACTGGGCGATTTTAATGATAATAACAATGAAGAGGATGATGATGATGACGACGGTGATGATGAATATAATGAACCCATTCAAATAAATGAGGTACATCAAAAGAAGGTAAGTAATGATGACGACGACGACGACGATGATGATGATGCTAATGAAGAAGATGATGATATATTATCACCACTATAAACACCATCATCACATTTACATTCACACACACACGTTAATACACCACCATCACAATCATCATCGTCGTCAACGTCACTATCATCACCACCATCATTATAGTCATCATCATCATCATCATTATCTTCATCATCATCATCATGACCATTAGAAATGGGAATGGACGAAAAACTGGACCAGGAAAGCCGCCACCAAATTTTGCCAAAACTTCATGCGAGGCAACTACAGCGTTGGCAAGTTGTGCGGTCATATACTCTCCGTTGATTTTAAGAGAGAAATTGAAACTTGCGTCGAAGATATAAAGGTATTTGTCTCTCTCTCTTCCTTTCTCTCTTTCTCTCTCTCTTTCTTTCTGTCTGTGTGTGTCTGTATGTGTCTAAGTGTCTGTGTGTGTGTGTATGTGGGCACGAATGAAGATATAGATGTGTGTGTATTTGTGTTTATTTTGGTTTGCCTGTAAAGTATTGTATATGTGTGTGTGTGTTTGTGCGCGCGCGTTTGTGTCTGTGTGTGTGCAGACATATTCTTTCAATTGATCTTGAAAATGAGAAAAATAGAATTTGCGTTGAAGACATAAAGAGGTGTGTCGTGATGTTTGTTTTTGTTGGTTTTTTGTATAAATATGTGTGCACGTCTGTATGTGTGCGCGCGTGGGTGTGCATTATACACACACAAATCCCGATCTGAACTAAGATAACCGGAAGCACGGATTGGGCCACATCGGCTCGGGACGCCATGAAGGAGCAATGCTTGGAGGAAGTGCAGAAGGATGTGTTCCTTAGTAGGGAAATCGTTCGGAAGGTAATGGGATAGTGGGATAATTTTTTATTTAATTTTCACATTTTGTTATGAAGATGATGTCAACAACAATGAAATTGGCAAATTGCACACACTCACACACACACACTCACACATACATTTACATACACACAAACACACACTCACACACATACACGCACAACACACACATACATTTACACACACACACACACACATACACAAACAAACATACACATTTATTTTCAGATTAAGAGCCAAGTTTGTATAAACGATTGTAGCTATCATGGAATTTGCGTTCGGGGTATGTTAAAGAATAAAACATCCATTCTTATATTATGGTCATATTTATGTGGTATAATTTATTTGAAATATTAATAATAATTTTTAATATTATGGCTATAATTTTGTTATGATAACATAGATAGTTATTATTATCTGATGTTATGTTGTTTTATAACATATACTTATGAAAAACTTTGGTAACTTTTGCGCTATTTATTGGTATAACATTTAAAAGTACAATACAAGATGGTGTAATTGTTGTTGAGACGTTGTAAGGAGAACCTCAAAGATCCGAAAATACTCTTTGAAATTTGAAATTTTGCTAACTTTTTTTAAATTCGCCATTTGACGTCACCAATTCGCCAGGAATGTGCGTATGCGATAATGGATTTTCCACGGCTGACTGTTCCGTAGTTTATCCATCTCGGCCCCAGATTTTAGAGTCCAAAAATTTGGGACAGTGTGACGTCAGGACGATGAATTGCTCCAGAATGATCCTTTACGGCCGGAACTTCATCAATAATCCCAATCTGACCTGCCATCTTCAGGAATATAAAGTGATTTATTTGAGTTTGGTGTATAATTTAGTATTTAAGGGAAACGTTTTGCAGGCATTCAATTGCATATTTATAAGAATTAAAAGTGCATTTATTGTTACAGTTATGATTTTGTTATTATTGTTATTTATTTCTAGATGACCAATGACAACCCGATGTTAGTTGGCAGACGCGATAAGAGGAAGGCCATATTTATCAGTACCTACGCTGCCGAGTGCCCACTCCCCGAGGTCTTGATAATGATGACGATGATGGTGGTGATGATGACGATGATAGTGGTGACGATGATGATGATGATGATTATCGCGAATGGCAATAATGATATGATGACCATGATCATTAACATAATTATTCCATCTTAATTTTCCTACCTAAACTTAATCATCTGTGTTGTAGTCATCAGCACCATCATTATCATCATTATCATCATCATTATCAACATCATCATCATCATCATCATCAGGTAAAAAGTTACCTAATAAGTGTAAGTAACGATGGCGAGCATGATAGTGATCCTCTCCTTTTCATGCCTTACGACTCTGTCTGCAATAGATGCGACATTCACAAACTTTCGTGTCGCAAGAAGGTGAAGCTACTACTGCTGCTGCTGCTAATAATGATGATGATGATGATGAAAATGATGATGTTTATGACAATGATGATGATGGTGGTGGTGGTGGTGATGATGATGATGAAGATAACGATAAGACCGATTGATGATAAGTTTTATAGTGATGATGATAAAAATAATTACAATAACAGTTAATATTTTTTGTATTTTCTCCTTTCTACACACACGCACGCACGCGTACGAACATACACACGCACGCACACACGTACACAAACACGCACGCACGCAACAGCACAACAGTTGCATCATTGATGGAATGTGTTACAAGGTCGGCGAGGTCAGTTCGTCCAATCATTGCCTGGTCTGCAAGTCGGTTGACGATGAATATCAATGGTCAACTCTTAAAGGTGCTGGCAATGATAATTATGGTGATTTTGAATTTTTAATGCTCTAAATTTCAAACTTTTGTCATCCAATCAGACGATTCTTGCTTTCGGGTTGATCTTTCAGATTGGCTGGTTGCAGGATTGGCTGCAGTTATTGGCTCGTTGATTGGTGCTCTTATGGGATTTGTTATGTATACCTGCTGCTGCAAGATGTTTGTTTTTCACTTACATGAACTTTGTTTTGAAAAGAACCACAACTGATCAACAACACACATCAACAACAACTTTAAAACCAATCAGCTTTAATATATATATCATTCATTTAACACAAAAATCACACATACCAGCCAACAACAACCACCCAACAAGGACCGCCAACAAACCATCAACAGATCAAAATCGTCAACGTGTAGCGACCACTCAAAAAGAAGCAGCAGCAGCATAGACGACTACGACGACCACGATATCGGCTACCCTAGCGAAGATTCATTCAATTTTTACGACGAATTCAGCGACAGACTCGTACATCCGAATTCAAACGCACTTCTACACAGGAATCAGTTACTATCTAGCTCCACAACCAACACTAACAATACCGTCACTACAAACGTCACAAGTAGTACTAAACACGCTAGTAGCAATACTACTGTTAAAAGTGATAATTTTACCAATAATGACGATGATTGCAGTAACAGTATTAGTAGACATAAAGCTAAGTTACAAAGTCCTGAAGAGAGTTTTATAAATTTCGGTATAAAGCGGATATTACCTTCACAGGACTTTATTAATCCTGGGCAAAGTACTTCTAACGATTTCGACTCATCGAATTATTTTTAATTTACAGTTTAATAAATTGGTTTAAAAGTTTAAGTTAATTAAAATAACTGAAAATTCTTTTTCTCAAATTAGCACATCCAGTGTTGGGTGAAGTTCTCTTTTTTAATTCAGATGACAACCAGATTCGAGGTTAAAACGTAAAGAATGACTTTTAGATCCAGATAGAAATCTAAAGTTATACTTTTGTAAAAATTATTTGAGACTAAATAGCATTTGAAATAGATTTCTAAACCGCTTCAAATAAATAACGACACTCAGACGCCCATTAATTCATGTACGAAATTATAACAATAGTTCCAGAATAGTTGCTGAAAAGGAAATTGTAGAAAGAGTTCTTTTATCAATTTTTTTTTATATTGAGATGAAATATCAACTGTTATAAATAAACAATGAAAAGATTCGTATGTTCAGAAGATTTAAACATACACACAACAAAGATTCAATGTGTGTATAATGGTATATTGTTAACTTAATACCATACTTGTTGTTACGTCATAGAACACTCCACGGAACTTTCTAAATCAAAAGTAAAAAGGGTAAAAATAAACGATGACGTCATTATTTACATTATTAAAAAATAAATGATGCCACTTCCCTGACCATTATACATAATATGAAACTTCGAAAACTTCTCCAAAATCTTTCTTAAAAAATTCACATCAAATTCTTTCAGTGACATAAAAGTCTCCAAAATAGTTAACACACACACACACACACACACACACACACACGCACACACACACAAAATTGAATGTACACAAAATTAGCAGGAACAAGCAATGAATGTATCCACATTTATTTATATGGAATCATGTCAGATGATATCTCATTAATTCATCCATCCAAATATGAATTATATCTAATAAAAATCAGATTGTAATTATAACAATAACACAAATAATAATGTTATCATATTACGATTTAAATTTAAAAATTTAATGAAATTATTATTCCAAATCGTCTTCTACGAGTTTCGGCTTGCCATGGATAGGAAATGTACCATCTAACTCACCTTCAACCAAGCGCTTCAAACATTAATATTATTATTTTATTACTTAATTTATAAAAAAAATACCAAATTACTCATCAAATTAACAAAATTAATTAAAGAAGATTCAACAAATATATACTCATGAAATTTAATGAAACTAATAAAATACCACTGTTTATGCCAAAACATAGTGATATAAAACTACAAAGATGAAAAAAAAAACAAAAACACAAATAAAACTTAAACAAATGCAGCTAGAGTAAAGGTATATTAGTGAAATTTAACATGGATTAGGAGAATGACGATACATTAGTGAGAATGATGACGATCATTACAAACCTGGGCTGCTATGGGAATTTGAGCGACAAGCAGCTGACAGACTTGTGGTGGGAGGGTTTGCTGGAAAACAGACATCAGCTGCTGGGGTTGGCTACAGACAGCTAGGGCATTGGCCAAGTGTTCAATGCCCTCATGTATGTCACCTTTAAATTTTTATAGGTCATTTGAAATATATCAGCATTTAGTATAACAGCAATTGTTAGCAATAACATGAAGTTATTTATTCAATTAATTGATTAGTTAATTGATTAATTAATTAAATAACCTTGGCTAAGCAGCTCTTCGCCCAACTGAATTTCTCTCAGGAAAAATTTTTGACATGATTCAGGATCGTTCAAATCAGGTTTCTGATTTTGGAAAAATTATTTTAAACATTGAATAAAATAAATAATTATATTATTGTCCTATAATATCGTTATAATGAAATTTAATTGAATGATTGAATAAAAACTTTTATTCAAAATTTAATTCAGTTTATAATTAATTTTTACGCGTTAAATGCATACGATGCCACATGAAAATTCACATCAATGATTAAAATAAATATAAAAATATAAACAGAAACTAATTTTAACATAAATTGTTACAAGAAACATTTTCTCATGGCATATGATGGAGTTTTTCTACTTTGAACATCATTTTCACTTATTTAATTAATAACACGATTACTATTTAAATGCTTGATATTATTTCAACACATGAACTTTTGAAAGACAAAGAAGAGTGGAATTAAAAATGTTGGTGCAAATTTATTAATCAAATTTAGTTAATTATTTCATTTAAACTAAAATTTATCAAAAATTTATCAAAACTCACATTTTCAACTTTTTTAGCCTTCTTGGCCGATTCCTTGGCTTTCAATCTTCCTGTAAAAATTATTTATCAGTTTTAATTTTTTATTTAAATAGTTATTTTTTCAAAAATAAATAAACACAAAACAAACAACGGACTTTCACGAAGTTTCACCCTGTAGAGAGGATCGCTTCTTCGCCTGTGGTCGTAGTAGAAACAGAACAGGACAAACGCACCGGCCCCAGCAGCCAATCCCATCAGAGCATTCGACGAAATCATCCCTAATCTAATCTAATCGTAATTCCTACACCGCTAATCGGAACGAATCGACCTTTCGAGCGATAATGCGAAGCTTACAATTCAAAAGAAAGATCAACGAAGTTAAATAAGCATTGATGCATTCGATAATAAATTTTTTAAAGAGTTTACATAAGGTTTTTTTTACATTTCTTGATTGTGTGACAAATTTATTTGTTTTAAATTTTTTAAACAATTAATTTGCTAATGTTAATATTAAATGAATGAAATATTTTATTTTAAGTTTGAAAATAAAATAAAAATAAATAATAAATAAAATAAAATAAAAAAAATCACTTTTATACACTTCAATGCATTTTTTAGTTTACATTAGCAACGAGGAATAGATGTATTGTTATACAGTTTTTAGAAATTTATAACTTTCGAATTTTATTTGTTAATAAACTTTACATTTTTAGACAAAATGCCTTTTTCATTTCTTTCTAACAAATTTAAACCCAAAAAAGGACCAACCAGAAAAGCTGCGTCCCTATCTAATTTGAATTTGAGCGCGGAGGAGAGAAAGATAGATTTCAGACCGGATGACGGAAACATAAAAGTGAGATTAGGAGAGAACATTCTACACTTCGAGAGAGGAGATTGGGTGGCCGGTTAGTAAATTAATTAACGATCATTTAGTACAGAACTGAACATTTACCAGATATATGAATATATGTAAGTAAAGTTTAAAATCGTCATTAGACTCTAAAGTCTAAACCAGTTTGAAAACACCCTGGTTTTCTAAATAAATAAATAAAGATGGTCAGTGTTCTCTCAACTCTCAAGACGGACAAAATTTTTTTAGACTCCACCACCGTAGCTAGTTAAATAGTCTAAATATTCCACAAAGTATCACGATTGTAAATTTAAATAAAAGTGTTGACAGCATGAAACAATGTAACAAATTTATTGAAAAAAAACAAACAAACGAATTCAATCCAATCAGATGGAGATGAACCGACAAACAACAAAGAAATGAAAAGATTGAAAAAGCAATTGCAACAAACGATTGAAGAGAAAAATTTTTTAACAATAAAAGTCGAACTACTACTTGACATGGTTGGTTCATAGTTAATTACTTCAGAAGTATTCAGTGATATATCAGATGGCATTAATGATACACTAATAGGTATTTAACGATATATGACATGGTATTAATGGATATATTAAAAAGAGTTACTCATTATAATTAGTTTCTAATATATTCATTAAATCTAATTAACCGAAATTGACGGTTAAAATTAATGATGGAAACAATTCTATGAAAAAAAATTTCTAATTTCACTAGCTGGCCAAACGAACGGCCGAAAATCAGATGCAAAATATTCTAATTGAAGAACTCAAAAAACAAAGAACAACACGATGATGAACGACAGCCACGATGATGACAACAAAGAAAATTTATCATTTTAAAATTATTTTCTCTTTTGAAAATATTTTGATTTCTGAATATGTTTCGTTTAGAGTTCCGGTTTCACTTATTTTCAAACAATAAAACCGATGAACTAATTTAATTTATATACCTATGTTGATTTAGTTCTATTGTTAAAAAGATAAATAAATAATATTAAACGACAGATTGGATAAACAGTTCAATACATAGATATAAAAAAATTCCTATATTTAAGGCTAAATGACTATAATTATTATCATTATTATCATTTGTGAGTTGGACAAATATACACAATAGAAATTTGAAAAAAAAATTATAAAGAAAGCAAACAAAAGACCAAAAGTATGAAAAAATTTATAAAAAAAATGATATAACGTAAACGTCATTATGAACAAGACGATATATAAAAACATATAAACATGTGAACATTATTTGATTTTTGCTCTGTTTAAAAAAAGTTTATATAATTGTTCAATTAAGATACTAATCAAAAAAAACAAATATATATATATAAATATACACACATATATATAGTTGTTTAAAACTATATATATATATATATATATATATATATATATATATATATATATATATATATATATATACATATCAACTCTTTCTTGGTTTTAATATATATAATTTGTATAATGTGAATAATGTGATTAATATATATATATATATATATATATATATATATATATATATATATATATATATATATCAAGCAGTTATAAGCAACAGCAACAATGATACTGATATAAAACTTTAATACACAAAACAAAGAATGAACAATATCAATATACATATACCACCAATATGCAATACAAACTCAATACAAGTACTTATATCTATGTACATAAGCGTATACAATGTAGACATATTTACCATCAAAACACGTCTGTATACATAGCTATTATAAACATTATCGTTACAAAATGATATAAAATGATATAAATAATAAAATACAATTGATAAAAACTGATTTTTAAATGATAAAAATACAACTGATAAATAAATAAATGAATGATCGAATGAATGAATATAGATATGGTGATAAACAATTTTTATAAATATATAAATAAATTTGTTGTAAATATATCAAAAAATCCTAAATGCGCATCTAAGTACAGACAAACTTTTATAAATATTGTGTGTGTTTGTGTGTGTGAGTTTGTGTGTGCGTGTAACTAGATTGTATTAATCTCAATAAACCAATAAACTCAGATTAAACAAGACAGAATTGTTGATATAGTATCATTAGTTTAGACTTAAATATAATAATAATATAAATTGATATAATATGATAAATTAATCATATGAGTTTTTGTTACATTAATAAAAAAAAGGTTGACTGGGTACAAATAAAAATGAAAAAATATAATAATTACCATTATTATTATTATTATTATTACTATTTATAATAATAATAATTATTATTATTATTATTATTATTATAAACAATTTTTAACCAAACAAATTAATTAAAAAAATGGTTAAAAAGCAAACAAAAACGAAAAAATACAAACATAGACAAGAAAAAATGCATTTAATAACAAACACCCCAAAAGACTAACTAACTAAACAACTAATCATATGTAGATGTAGAAAAAGAAAGAGAAAGAAAGAGAGAAAGAGAGAGAGAGAGAGAGAGAGAGTAAGTAAATTTCATGATTTATATGAAAGTAGAGTGACTGTCTTTGGTCTGTATCTCAATCTTCTCGACGGCAAGGTCAGTATTCATGTTCGTTACTGCTTGTATTGCATCTGACAGAGCCTGTTTGTTGTTCATTTTGATGTTTGTTTGTTTGTTTGCGTATGTTTATGTTTTTATTGTTGTTTAAGTTTATGTAAATGTTCAAATTGTTGTAGTTGTTGCTGCTGTATAAATTTTTGTTCATTTTGCGTGTCCGCTTACGTTTATGTATATGTTTGAATCGTTGTTGTTGTTGTTGTTGTAGTTTACGTTAATGCTACTGTTAATATCTAACTAGATACATGAAGATAGCCATAGACACATAAAGATACCCAAAGATACATAAAGACACACACAGATACACAGAGATATCATCACATATATACAAAAAATAACACTGGATAAGATAGATAAACCTTATCATAGTCTACTTGATTAGAATAGCCACCATCTGGATGCCTTTTCTCAATTCTCGTCTCTATTACTCCATTCCTCTCTATACGATGCTGTTACATATGAAAAAATATAATGTTATTAAATATTTGTGTGTGTGTGTGTTTGTGAGAGTTTCTCTCTCTCTCTCTCTCCCTCTCTCTCTCTCTCTATGTGTGTGTGTAGAAAAAAAAAATATTTGTGAGTTAGTGTGTTTGTTTGCTTGATTGTGAATGTGTGTGTGTGTGTATGTGTGTGTCAACGCTGTATATTAAACAAAACAACAAAACTAGTTTAATGAAATAATGATTATCATCATCATCATCATCACCATCATCCTCACCATCATCATTATCATCATCATCATCATCTTACCTCAGTGATGATAGTGCCATCAGATGCAGTGTACGTTTTGGATGAAGATGATGTCATCAGAGATGATGTGCCACCATTATAGGCAGTCCAGCCATCATCATTCCCTGAGGACGATGATGACAACAACGACGATGTGGTGAGAAGGATGATGAGTGAGAAGGATGAGTGAGAATGATTGTTTGTTTCAGTTTTGGCTGTGAACTAATGAATGATTGAATAAACGAATAAATAAAAAAAATGAAAAAATGAATTAAGGAAAGAAAGCAAGCAACAAGCAAACAAGCAAAACAACAAACGAACGAACAAACAAACAAACCAGCTCTTATCCTCTGCTCATACAGCATATCATATTGATTAGCAGTTAATGGTTGATTGTTATATCCAGTATTTTGTTGCTGCTGCTGTTGTTGATGCATGTAGGAGTAGTAACTTTGTTGTTGTTGTTGTTGTTGGGAGTGTTGCTGGGGGTAGGGTTCTAGAGGGAATGTAGCTTCGTCACTCGTAGCACTGCACTGGTTAGAGTAATCGCGAAATTTTGAAATTTAAACATCCAAATTTAAACTAAAACAAATGTCTATCAACTTAATATTTACAATTCTACATCCCATCGTGATATACACACACACATATACAAGTTTTTTATTTCAAAAATTATGTTTTGAATTCTTAACTATTAAAAAAATAACAAATATTAGTAAAGACGAAATAAATTGGAAAATTAACTAATTAACTCTTAGATAATGTTTGAATTTTATTAATGCATATAGATAAATAAGATGAAAACACTTGAAGAAGATAGGAAGATAGATAAATAGATAGATCTTTTTAAGTGGTGGTTTAAAAAATTTCATGTGCAAAATATATATATATATATATGTGTGTGTGTGTGTGTGTGTGTTTGTGTGTATGTCTGTGTGTGTGTGTATGGATGAATGAATGAATGAATGAAAGATGACAAAAATTGATTGCAGACGTGATATTTAGAGAAGAAAAACTAATGTTGAATAAAAATTATTATCAAAGAGTAATAAACAATTAAAGGCTTCACATGTTAAAAAAATGTTAATTTTAAAAATTAAAATATGAAAATAACGAATAAAAATTTTTAAAAAGTTAAATCTGGACCAGCTCGTGCTAAAAATCTAACAAAATATAAATCATAAATAATAACTTCCATCTGACCGGCAAAAATACAAAAAATACAAAAATAATTTGACATATTAGGTGCGGGTACGACGTGTGTTTCGGCGCTGCTATCGTGCAGAAAGATAGGATAGGACCATTCAGTTTAACCTATTTTAACTCGAAAATCGACAACATTTTCATAACGTAATTGAACAAGTATTTTTCTAGTGGTGTAAATATTTATAGTGCGGCATGTAATAACAACAGTGTCATTAACGGAAAAAACTTAACAACAACAACCATAACATTAGTTTATCAATGAAAGTGCATATGGAACTATCATGAGTTATCCTAAGGTTACGCTAACTAACTCACAGACGTATTAAGACTATCATTGCTGTGTGCACCTAACAGATTGTCGGTACTAGCATATTGGGAGTCGATCAGGTAAGCATCCGCATTATATTTGATTGTTTTGTTGTCGTTGTTGTCGCTGCTGCTGTTGCTGAAGTTGTTGCCGCTGATGTTTGCATTTGTCGGCAAATTGTTTACATTCTGTTTATATATATATATATATATATATATATATATATATATATATATATATATATACAAATTTATGTACGTAAAGTGTACGATGTATGTGTATGTATTACAAGTCTATGTACGTGAAGTGTATGTTTGTATGGTATGTGTTTGTGTTGTAGTTGGTGGCGGTGTTGTTGTATGTTTTGTTGTTGTAGCTACTTTCGCATTGTTTGTCTAGTATTTTGTATTAGAGAACAATTTAGGATATTGTGAAAGAAATTTATAACAGAAAAAAAGCTATATGAATGCATTTCGTTGATTAATTCACGAGTTAATCACACGAAGATAAAATGTTTCATACAAAAATATACACGTGCAAAGACTACACAATCCACATACAAATACATCTATGGAAATACGCAAACATACAGACACAATAAACCAACGAACAAGTATTCAAATATAGAAACCTACAAAACAATAAAATAATCTTTAAAACCAGAGTATTCAGAGATAAGGCAGATCACTAGCTAGGAAGTTAAAAGACATTATTATCATTATAAAAAAACACACTCACATTGACTTGTATACCCAAAGATATACAATACATACATTACACAATACATTACACAAATGTATAAATACTTATACAGAATACAAACATACATATACAATTCAAAGAAATGCGTACGAAAATACGTCAGTATATACAAGAATCTCAAAAATTGCTCTAAATTTAGAGTTATTATTACATGTACTGCATTATATACAAAGATAATTAAGATAGCAGATCGGTAAATACTATTACCCCACCAAAATACCAACACCAACATTTCGATAAACATGTGTTCAAATACACAGGCAAATACACAGGCAAATACACAGGCAAATACACTTCTTACGTACACAGATGTGTTTATATTTGAGATGATGGAGAACGGCATGTGATAAGAAAATGCCAGGAGATAACGTGCGAACAAAAATTCGCCATACATTTATAACTACGGCTACTACTGAAACTTTTTTAACATAGATTAATAATCAAATTAAAAAAAAAATAATAAAAAATAGAGCAGACAGAACTGAGAATATGAATAGCAATGATATTGTTATTATTTTCAGGGCAAACGATAATATGAGTAATAAAAATAGTCAGACCGCTAAAAAACATCAATTTTGATGTCTGTAAATGACAACGTAATATGAGCAATCAGATGTAATTAGGCACCAGAAGGACACCAATTTAAACACTTCAACAATTGAAAAAAAAACAAAAACAACAACGAAAAATGCCAAAATATAAACAAACAACAACAACACTAACCGACAAATTATCATTAATCTTCCTGCTTGAACTTTGACTCCTGCCCTCGTTGTAATTCGGCGAAACACCCCCTACGCCACTGCTGACCCTACCAACACCAACTACATTGGCGTCCCCGCCACTGCCACCGCCATATTTCTGACCAGTACCGTAACCATCATTACCATAACCGGCCTGTTCATCATTATCAAGATCGTTCGTTGACCTTCGACCTCTGATGTCTAGAGTGTTTGACCTTGAGCCATCGTACTGGTACGCTTCTGCCCTCTCCGTGCTATACGTTGTCAGTACTGCAAATGAAATTTTCATGATGATTAGTTTTTAATTATTATTATTAATTATTATTATTATTATCATCATTATTTATCCTTCTCATCGTCATCTTCCTCTTCCTCCTCATCTTGCAACTGACCAGTTTCCATGCTCCTGGACCCGGCGAACTTTCTGCCAACGAGTCGAGTGACCGTAGCCCTCTGATTCTTATCGCCCATTTGCTGGGCCTGGTAGAATGTTCTGCCAGTGTAGCGATACTTCGGACCGAATCTCGAGAACAATCCGTGAGGCGGTGGGTCCGTTTCCCGCAATCTGATTGGTCAAAAGTTTTAGTGTGGGCTGATTAATTTATAGACGGACGGATCGGATTGGTTAAGAGTTCTATTGCGTAGTAGTTGCAAATGAATTATCAAAGAAATACAAACATAAAAATTAAAATTAATTAGTCTGACGATTTAAAACAATAATCCATCTTTTACGAAAACCTGAAAAAGGAATGATGTTCAACAGCAAGCCTCCACAATCTCTTGGCCGTCTGATAGTTCGCAAGCTTGTACTCCATTGTGGTTTCCATCTGCTCAAACTGTCAGTAATGATTAAAAGGTTGGAATTAATTCCGTCTGCACGAGAGTCTAAAATAAATCTCATTCAACCATCAGCACTAATCAGTTAATGATTACAGAGATGATGACAGTGCTGATGCAAATGGGATGGAATTGGAATGATGATGAAGATGACAGGTATGATGACGATGATGATGGCAACCTCTCCGGGTCGGATCTTGATAGTGAAAACGTTCCTCTTGTAGGAGATCTTCAAAATTTTCGGCCAGGTGAACCTATGCAGTCTCAGGCGTTCCTTGTACACGAGCAGACCAGCAGCACAGATGCCTAGCAAGACCTCCGAATCGTTACTGTCCTGGAAGGTTAGAGTTTGATAGGAAACCATAGATTGAGATGTGTGTGTGTCTTTGTGTGTGTGTCTTTGTGTCTGTGTGTGTAAAATGAAACTAATCATCAGCTATAAAAAAAAAAACAAAAGCCAACTTTCGCTTGAAACATATGGACGCCATACAGCGAGAGTTTGTAAGCATTGTCGAGGAAACATAACTCCGCCTCCGCCGGCTGCATGCCCCTGAAATAAGCGGAGTTTATTATTCATGAATATTAATGAGGTTTTGATGTTAATGAGATGAAAAACAGCCCTATACAAATACATATCAATACAAATACATACCAATAAAAACATACACATAGGTAGAAACAATTGCAAAGGCACACGAACATCAACAGAACAGAGTATCATATTTACTTCCAAAACAGACCAGTTTGTGCAAATAAAAACGTTATTCTATTATGATTTTCCACATGACATTTCCTAGTAACAAACAATCCCTTGCCTCCAATAGTCTATCGGTCCATCAGTTAATTAATTAATTAATTTATTCATTCATGCGGTCCTTTATTCGTTCATCAAATTTGACTATCCATCAATCTATCCATCTATGTAACAATGTCTATACCAATTTTTTACAACACAATACAACACAACACAATATAACAATATGGATAACAATACAATATAAAACAAAACAATACAATACATTTCAATTAAAATTACAATACAACACAAACATAAACTACCATACAATACAACACAATACCACACAACACAATACCACACAACACAATACAACATAAACCAAGGATTATCCTACCATAATGCACTTGAGAGAGAGAGAGAGAGAGAGAGAGAGAGAGAGAGAGAGACCAAGAGATGTTAAACAAAATATACATCAGGGGATTGTGCACACAAATAAATGCATTAATGAAATAGTTCACTCCATCACAAATAATAATAATAACAATAATAATAATAATATAAATAATAATAATAATAAATAATAAGAATGGATCCTAAATATAATTAATGGAAATAAATGCAATCATCTCCATGCCATTATGATTTTTTTTCTTATGATTATGTGATGTTTGCGAAATAATTGAATAAGAAAAAAAAGTGCAATTTTATTTTTTATTGTTTTAAATCCTAAATAATATTCTTTTCAAACAGTAATTATCAATATCATCATCGTTATTAGAACCATCATTATCAGTTTCACCCACAAAGTCACTATCACCATAATCATTATTACAATCATTTTCATCATCATCCCAGCTACTTCCCCATCACCATCATCCCCATCACCACCATCATCATCATCACCACCCCCACCACCATCACCACCACCACCATCATCATCATAACTACTAACTGATTAGTTTTATGTAGTTCAGCAATCTTATCGAGCAGCTCGTCTGTCTGATTCGGGGAAAAACCTATATCCTTGAGGTACGCATGTCCAGTGCCATGGTCCGAGGGGCAGTAGTCTCCGAGCTGTGATTGGGCGGCGTAAGAGCCCAGCAGGGCATAGGTCATGAAGGAACAAGGTAATCTTTAAGCGTGTGTGTGTGTGTTGTGTAATTGTGTGTGTGTGTGCATATCTGTGGGTGTACATTTGTGTGTGTGTTTGTGTTTCTCCATTTCTGAATATTTTTTTTATTCTGTGAATCAAACGCCATCATACGCAGAGAACGTAACTACATTCAAGGTACGAAACATGTAGAAAGTATTCAAATTGTATTGAGTTAATTTTTGAATATATATGTACGCTTGTCATTGTAATGATAAGCAATAATCGCCAAGTACTGTTAGCACTGTACAAAATGAATATTCAACATTATTCAAGTATGAAGATGAAGACATTGATAATGACAACACTAACACGATAAGTTACATCATCACCATGACGTGATTAAACACATAGTTGTGAGTAAGATAGACTGACAGACATCAGATCAAATATTGGAGGAATATTAGACTGACAGACATCAGATCAAATATTGGAGGAATAAAACGAATGAATCAGCATCATCACTGCCAACAGAACATCGTTCAATATACATACATAAATTAACAGTAGGCGGGCGCTCAGCCAGATAACAACATACACCCACACTAGTCTCTGTATGTGTTTTTGTGTAGGTGAATGCGCTTTAGCAAGTTTTTGTGTGTGTGTGTTTTTGTATATGGGTGTGCGTACGCGTGTGTGTGGACGTTTATGTGTTTATATATGTTTCTATGTGCGTGTGTGTACGTGTGTGTGTGCGTGCGTGTGTATGTATGGGTTAGCTCAAGAAATAAACTTCTCAATTTTATTCCTATTACACTTATTCAATGCTGGAATGGTTTATACATCTTTATCAGTGAATTGATAAATAATAACAATAATAATAGACAAATAATAATAAACATAATAAAATAATAATATGGTTATTATTATTATCACTAACAATAACCAATAATAATAACCAATAATAATAATAACCATAATAAAAATAATGCGAACAATCACAACTCCATCACGCTATGCTGGTAATTTAATTATTTTTTTTAAAACTGAATAATGTGAATATACTTGATAAAAAAATTCCGTGGATAAACTAATAATAATAATAGTAATAATAATAACAATAATTACAATGGTGAACAAAAAAAAGTAAAAAAGGAAAAAGAAAAATTATCTTTAAGCAAACTTTTAATTTAAAAAAATATCTAAGAATAATATTTCATACTTCCCAGAGAGTATATCAGTCCTCAACTGCAAGAACAATTGATATCTGTGAGGTAACAATGGAAAAGAAGAAGATGATGATGATGATGGTGATAACGGTGATGATAATGAATGCGATAATGATATCAATGATGATGATAACGTTGACGATAACGATGATGGTAATGATGAAAAACCAAATATAAAATAAATAACGAAAGACTTCAACTGAAGAATAGAACCAATGACAGATTTACTCAAAAACACTCAAGCCAATGCAGTTCATTTTGAATGAATGAGGAATCATGGTACTGATTGTGATGGGATACATCATGGATGTGTCACTGTTGATGAATGATACATACGTGTGATCCCGTATTCTTTTCATTTTGTTTCATTGATTGGTAATAGACTAATACAAGCAACTCTATACACACTCTACACCAACATTAACGACAGCAACAGTAACATTATTCATATTTGGTTTAAAAACGTATGGAAAAATTTACCAAGCAGACATTTAACCCAGTTTAAGAATCTTAATGTAACACGATATCTCTATTCTTATATATAAAACGTACTTGGGGTTATTCAAAAATTTACAATTAAATTTAAATCTAAAATGCTTTACCAAAAACAAACATGGATAGGGAAGTGAAAAACTAGTTTTACCTATTAACACCCATTAATTTACACTACTTACTGAACTGACTAACTAACTAAATGACTAACTGACAGACTGACTGATTGACTGACCTTGTGATTTCTTCATTGAGGCAGGTTGGATCAGGGGGGTAGAATTTTACCTCAAATGAAAAGACCCATGGTGTATCTGTTAGATTTTGGAAAACGTTTTCTTCCAATGACTCTTACCTCATTTTTACAATGTCTCAGACTACATATTTACAATGTCTACTATCCCATTAGCATTACAAACAAACAATTATTATCAAGAGCATGGAAATGATTAAGAAAGTGTCCAATAATAATTTTAGGATTGGCTAAACAATCCTAAGCTTAAGTGTTGTTTTGCTGAGAAGAAAAAGAGAATTAAGCTAAAAATTTGAAAGATGTCTTTTTAATTGTTTTTGGTTCTAATGCTGTTTTATCTAACAATGCAAAATATAATTAATTAGGCAATTACAAGCAATTAAAAAATGTAATTAAATAAATAAAATAATGATAGCTATAATGATAACTATAAGTTATGATATCACTATAAGTTATGAGATCACTATATCTAAGTTTGATATCAACTAAAAATTAGCAAATTTCTCACTGCTGATCTGCTTGAATATCTTTTTGTTATTGTTCAACCAAACCTGGAAATTTGCACATAAAATTTTTAATAATGCAAATCATGTGAAATAAATAAATAAAATAAATAAGCAAACAAACAAATAAATACAAACAAATCAATTAATAAATCACATATTAATATGATTATCTAATTTTTCTAAACACACATACAATAATTAATAACTACTACTAAACTAAGTAAAACAAAACACAATAGAAACCTTTGTATTCTTATTCTCCTTGTATGTGCAACCGAAATAATCAACTTCATTCAATGATAATTTCTTACAGACAAGATCAAACAGTTCTTGCCCTGAGGCTTTTTTCTTACAGGTCAAAATTTTCAAATTAAAAATACAAAAAATTATTGGGAGGAAATAACAAAGTGTTATTTTTGAATATACAATGTATATATATATATACACATTACAATACATACTTAATACATAACTGTTAGTACGATACGACTCACTGAGTATAATGTGAGTTTAGTTAGTTAAGAGTGTTAATCTTTAGTTTTTATATTAAACTATTCTCTGGTTTTTAAATTTTTATAATGTGAATTTAACATAGATAAATAAAAAATGTTTTTTAAAACTACAAAGAAAAAAGACTTCATACAACAACAACAACGAACATCAATATCAATGTCCACTTCACTGCCATCCAACAACTGTACTCTACAAGTGTTCATTCTGTTGGGATTTCTTTCTATAAGGAGGAGAGAAGTTTATTTTGCATAAAACACAGAGAATAAATAGATGAATAACAGCAGAAATTTCTTTATAAAATCTAAAACTTTGACTATAACAGTATAATATAGATAGCTAATTACAGTATTTATTACTTATTGCTACATTTACTAATTTACTTATTTATTAATTACTACAAAAAACAATGAAAATCAATACATTTTAATTTTTAAATTTATTATCAAACTGCTAGAGAATGCCAAGTACTGTTCTAATTTCTAGCCCTCAAAATCTAAAGCTAAACTAAATTAACTAACGAATTATTTAAAATTCTTTGTTAATTACACTGCATACAACACACTGACTTATTATTGCATTAAAATTAATTAATTAATTAATTATTAACCTATCTAATAATGATAATCTTGACTCCAGATTCTTGAATGATAAATGTCCAATGAATAATGTACAACACAACCTCAATAGTGAATTTTAAAATAAAAATAATAAATTTCAATTAATCCAAATAACTTCAAAAAACTCGCAAAAATCGCGAATTAAATAATAACTAAGTGAACTTTAATTTAACCTATTTTAATTTTATATTACAATTATTCTACTAATTAACGTTGTTGTATGGGATAGAGAATGAATCATGAAAAGTGAATTTAAATAACAATGTGATTCATACCGGCCTATCATCGGTAAAATGCCCATTTTCATCATGAACTGTGAATGTCTTACACATTATACACTCATATATGCACACATTCAACATGACACGTTCTACATATATTCTCTTTATACACGATACATCTTCTCTACACACGATATTCCTACACGCTTCATCCATACAAGACACATACATTCACATACATCCACTTTAATCATGAATGTAGGCGGGAGATTTTAATCAAAAATTTGTGAACAAACTCAACCATATTTCACCTGCACGACTAATTAGAAATGTCTAAGGCCATTTTTTTACCTTTTAAAAATAAGATTTTTCCGATAAATGAATATAAAAAACCAAATGACTTGACACACGCGAATAATTCCGAAACGGCTTTAGCTCGCCAACAGGTATAAACTAGAATGACAACTGTTACGACAAACACAATTCATAAATCATTCGAAATTGAGCCTAACGATCAATTGAAAGTTAAACAATAGTAGTTGTAAAATAAATTTAAATAAGTAAAACTGCTGGGTATTTAATTTAGCAATCAGTGTTCCAGGTATGGAATAGATCTCGTGCTCTTGGCGTGCACAATTCATTATTACAATACTCCGCCGTTATCACCTATTTCAAATTTTCAATAATTTAAGCCAATCAAACGAACGATAAACAAATAAAAACGAGATAAATAAAATAAGTAAATAAAGTGATAGATAAATAAATAAATATTAGATAGCCAATGTGTTTCAAACTCTTCAGAGTTCAACTAAAAAAAAACTTGTAATAAATAAATTGATAGTCAACCTTCCGAATTGTTCTGGCTATTATTTGGTGGATTGCTGTTGGCGGGATTTGCGGACGAGCCACCAGTGGTGCTCATTTGAGTTCTCAACTGCTCCACAAAGTCCGGATTTGTCTGCTGCATTTGCTGTGCAAACTGCTGACCACTGTACAAATTAAATTCAATCTTTCAAACCTAATATTAATTAATTCTAATCTTCTAATAACTTAATTTGATAACATCCCTAACGTTATCATAAAAAATTATAGATTAACAAAATTTTGATATGTACATAATAAATATAAGCACTCAGGATATGCATATATCGAACATTGCAGCAAACACATTAACAAGACAAGAGTTAATAAGTTCATAAAAATAAAGTTTATATTGAAAATGTGAGATAAATCACATCCATAAAATGCTTTTAAGCAAAAAAAAAAGAAGAGAACTAACACTTCTAAGAGCCTGTTGATTCCTGTGCCAGTGCCAGCGTCGGGACCTCCCGTACCGCCCCCTAATCCTTCCTCACCAGTTTCGGGACCACCGGCACCCCCTCCCAATCCCGACATCATGTTCACCATCCTGCTCAGTTCAGAGAAACCAAAAAATATATATATAGAATGATCAAAATATAATGTAGAATGTAGGAATGTGTTAACTATTCAGAATGATTAATGAAATTAAATTTAAAGTGCTTTTAATGGAGTTTAAAATTCAATGTGGTAGTATCAGAGATTAAACTAAGATCAATGAACTGAACAGAGGAGGAAAGGTCTGCTGAAGAAATAATCTTACATTGATTGCATCTGAGGATTTGAGAGCATTGTGGTGGCCTGCATGGAATGATACAAAAATGAGAAAAAGTTCAGATAAATATTATGAATGGACAAGCAAATCTACATGAGTTAGTAGCTAAAAACTATTTATAATGTATGAATTACAAATAAAATGAAAATAAAAGTTTATTATACCTAAAAAAAAACTGACCATATTCATGAGCATGGGATTGTTCAAAAATGAGGAAAAATCCATTCCACCGAGATTTAAACCACCAAAACCCATTCCTGGTGTTGGCCCAGTACTCTGCCATGGCATGAATAGGTGGGTGAAATTATGGGAAACATTAGGATAATAATTAACCAATTAATAATTAATAAAAAAAATAACATTTGTTGTTTCTGATCTGAGAGACTGCTCTGCCATCTTGAGATTTTCTTTGTAACTCTCGTTCGAGGGGTCCAGTTCGGAGGCCTTCTTGTAGCAATCCTTGGCCTGCTGGTGTTGGTTCATAGCTGAGTGCGCTAGTCTGGAAAAAATTAGAAAATTTAGTTATAATAATGGTTAAGCAAATGAATAAAATAAATTGCAAGACAAACCCTTTTCTGCCATACGCCTTGGCATAGGTTGGATCAATTGATATGGCTGACTGGCAGTCTTCTATGGATTTTGTGTGGTTTCCAAGTTTGCCATAGGCAGCAGCTCTGCACGGTTATGAAAAACAAAATTACGAATATCAATATTTAAAAGATCATGCATGTTTGATGTGTGGTTCAAAGAATGGAAAAACATTTGGACAGAATGCATACCAGACTATTCCATCCATACAACAAGCAAACACACATGAACCATTCATTCAATATGCGCACCAAAAAAACTTCACAGACATAATATCACAGACATTATCACAGACAGATAAGAAATCTGATGTAATAATGGTCGATTTTTTTTGAAAGTATATATCATATTATTTTGAAAAACTTAGCACACTCACCTATTGCAGTAGTAGACAGCATTCCTAGTATCATTCTTGATAGCCTCTGTATATGATTTGATGGCTTCATTATATAAATCTTGCTTCATATACTCATTACCTGTTTAATTTTATAGAAGTTCATGATGTACTAATATGTATGATACACATGATATGACATGATATGATGCAACATGATATATAACAAGATACAGAAGATGAACGTATAATTTTGTTTATAATGTAAGTAAAATATATAGTTACGGTTACATATCCATAAAACTTTTATATGATCATGCATTTGAATATAATCAATAGTATTTTAATAATTTACATAAGAGTAAAACAATAAAAAAACTATCAAACCAAATATATATACAAATAACCTAACAATAGATTGAATAAACTTGTAACTTAAGTAAGATACCTTCAGCTTTTAATTTTTCTGCTAGAACTTTGTCACAGGCCGTTGGAGTTGCCTGTTACAAAATAAATTCATAACACTAAAATAACACTGAGCAGGAATATAAATTAAGTAACACAAAGTTTGATAAAGACTTATTCAATTTTCAATTAAATAATCAGTTTTAATAACACGGGATGTACAGAGTAAATCAGTAAACAGTACAATGATAAAAATTAATAAAGGGCTACTACAAAGCTTGTAACACAATACAGGAAAGTGAACAGTAAAATTAATTTTTTTCAAAATGATGCATAATCAACCATCTTGATCTTACTAACGAGATGATTCAATCCGGCGTTGAAGATTTGTGGCAATGAAGCAGGTAGGTTGCACTGTGCAATGGCATCAACATCTCTTATACTGATTTGGTAGGCTGATTCCAAGCACTGTGAAGCGACTGAGGAAATTTAATTAATTTATCAATTATTTAATTGAATATTTGAAATTGATTAGACGTGATACAACAAAAAATGGAAGACCTTCTAAACTTTCTATGGCATCAGGTGAGAGATCAGGAGAGCGCTGCTGGTCATCAAAAAAATATAGGATGGAGAGAACAAGTCGCCTTGTGTCGTCCATTTTTCAAATTGTACAAAAAAATAATAATTAATTAATTAATTTTTTTAAATGGTGATTATTTGCGACGAATACAGAACAGAACGGTGATTTAGAAAAACTCTCGGCAACAAAAATAACGATTCGAAAACGGAAACTGACTAAAAGCGAACTTTTTAAACCATGACGATGCGCGTTTAAAAGGAGAATCAACATTAATCTGCTTATAGCAGATATTCAATTAAATTGAAGTGTATAAATCAACCAAATATAAACCAAAATCTCGATATGCTTTTTAATAAGTGACAAAAAATTTTTAAGACTGAATTTAAACAAAAAATTATTAATGTAAGCTTCATTTCAAGAAAATCATTTCAGGTGCTGTCATTAATCTAATGCAAAATTAATAGAATAATTGAAAAAAATCTATCTTCCACGATTGAAGTAGCCGGCATTGAGAAGATGTAGAGCGCCCCTGGAGGCAGGTGTACATCATTACCCCTGACAATAACAATAATAATAATAACAACAACAACAGCAACAACAATAATAATAATAATTATTATTATAAACGAAATCCTGATCCAAAGTTTCGTTGAACGTGTTTGACTCTTATGGCATAATTAATCTTTATTATCAATCAATTATTTATTATGATTTTTATTATTTTATTAAAAACATTATAACAATACACATACCTATACACCAATATACAATACATGTACAACATACATAACATATACAATACAAAAAATATACATAACACATACATTCGTCAGTCAGCAATGTTTCATGCTCCACTGAGCACCCGTGACTCAGATTGCATGTAAATAACGTGTTCTTGTGTGCTTTTGTGTGTGTTTGTATGTGTATGCGTGTATATATATGATCTTGTTTGTATCTATGTATATGTGTATATATGTATGTATATATAATTTTAATATTTAATATATGTTTGCACTCTTTCTTCTATAACAATATATATATATATATATATATATATATATACATGTATATATATATATATATATATATATATATATATGTATTTATATGTGTATATATAATTAAATTATGCAGTCCTCTGTTTAGTACATACATCTCGTTTAATTGAAAAAGCGCCTATCATGAACGACATGTTCGTATTTATTTGTATGTGTTTGTATCATTTTTGTATCACCTTTGTATCATGTTTGTTTTTTGTATTGTATGCGCATTGCGTGTTTATGCGCACAAAACAAAAACAATCACCAAACATGAAAAGGAGACGATACAAAGTTACCTACCTATTGTCAATTATTTTTTTCTAAGCTTTTATTTAATTCCAGTCATGGCTTGCTTATGTTCAATTAACTCAGATCTCACCTTGTTGTTTTGTTTGCTTGATGCTTCATCTTTTTCTCCTTTTTTCTTTGTAATGGTACAAATAGGTAGATTTAATTCGAAAGTTGAGCTAATGGAACATAGGTAGGTGAGTTAATTTAGTTAACATAGGTAAGTATGGGACTCTATTCTTTCATTCTTACTTTCTAGTTTATTTGTGTTTTTAGTTTTGTTTGTTTTTTGTTCAACACAAACCAACAACAGCTATCAAACACAACATCAACACAATATTATTTTCTTATTTAAACTTAGGTGTATCTCTTTCGTGTTTTATTTTATTATAATTTGTCTACGGTTTCTCATAGTAAGTTAAAATGTATTTTTTTTCTTTTGTATATCTCTTGTATTATTTATGTATGCATTATTTTTAAGTTGTGTTATTTGCGTATCTATTAGGTATCTATAGATATCTATTAGGTAGTATCTGATAGTATCATTTCTGTTTGGGCTTTATTCGTTTGCAGTACATATTAACACATTTTCTTGCTTGTATTTTTTTCACATATTAGTGTGTGTGTGTACCTAATTGGATGGAAGAACATACCTGTGTTTGCCTATATCTACCTGCTTAAATTTTGAGTAGGTTGTTTCTTTGTATGTAAATTTGTTTGTTTGTAGTATGATGTATGTATGTATGTTAAAGTATGTATGTATGTATGCATGTATATTGGTTTGTTTGTATATATGTATTTATGTTTGTTTGTTTATTTGTATGTATGTTCGTCTCGTTTCGTTTTGTATTTTCGCTTTTCTGTATTTACTTAATAAAAATTTTGAATGCATTTTAGTAATAATTGTATGTTTACTTGTTTGAAAGTGCCTGATAAAAAGATAGCGCCAGGAGTGTTGATTAGTTTAATATTAGTTTAATAACTATATTTATGTTATAGTTTCTATTTAATGAGCAAAAAGGAAGAGATAGAGAAAGGGAGAGATAGATAGAGAGAGAGAGAGAGAGAGAGAGAGAGAGAGAGTGTGTGTGTGTGTGTGTGTGTGTGTGTGTGTGTGTGTGTGTGTGTGTGTGTGTGTGTGTGTGTGTGTGTGTGTGTGGTGTGATTAAATTTTTAATAATGCGTTTATTCGTCATTATTCTCCCATGCTTCTAAGATGTAAGAATTCAGTCTCCATTTAGTAACTCTCGCTAATAATGAGCAACAAACACACGCGCGCGCGCACAACACACACACATACTCACACACACGCACACACATACACACGCACATAGAACATTGGTTTATTATTATAAATGATAATTGCGCGAGTGAGTGTGTCTTCTGCTGAATGAAACAATTGAAAGCTTACTTACAAACTTTGCTAACCAATGATCACCAGCTCATCTGCATACAACAGTTACTTTAAATACACGTATACATTCACTGTCGTGGCTGAAAGTTTCTGCTTAAATTGATTTCAAATTACTCACCAATTTTGAGAAAATGTTTGACTGTATTGTGGACGGCTGTGTAAAAGGAAAATGTTAATTAACTTCAAATCAATCTAGTATATTTATTTGTAAATTTATTTTATATTGATTTAAAAATTTATTAATAAAATGTGGCGGAGAATTATTTGGTTTATTTGATGAATTCGTTCAGTTGGTTTTCATTAAGTTCTACTGGTACAATTCGATACGATACAATACGTATGAAACGAAACGAAACGGTGCAGTACCTACAACTAATTAAACGTTCATACACCTATTAAACGCTCAGATTTACACAGAGGCACAATAATTAATCCATCACAATAAAACATTCATGACAAACATAGGTTAGGTGGATTGCCTATTAAAGCACTCTACTGAGAAAACAAACTCATCTCACACATGCATATTAAATCATTCGTTTATTTATATATATTATATATATATATTAACAAGTTAATGTTAAACATTCACTTATGCATATATAATATATACACTCACACACACATATAAATATATTTAACAAAGATGTATATATACATACATATATACACATTCGCAGGCATGCAAACATCCCAATAATTATACACATACGCACGCACACACATGCAAACCAACATCAAGATATATACACACACATACAGACACACATATAAACACAAACAAATATGTATACAAAGACAACACATGTGAATGTCAGCAGCACGGTAAAGCACTACTTGCACCTTTTAAGCAAAGTCAGTCAGCACATTTAATATTATCTTCCGGGTTAGCAAATGTTTAATTTTGTGTGGATTTTTCTGTTTAATTTTGTCAAAAAAGTTTTTATTAATGTTTATTTGATTAAATATAACGATTGAATTTCGTTAGTCAATCGATTTTATCTAAATTTTGACATTACGACACCTATATATGATGATATATGATTTATATATAATGTAATGAATAAGTCAATAAATAAATAAATTAGATTTTTTTATATATCAGATAACGATAAGAGATCATTGTCATTATTTATAACATAACGTTTTTTAAAATATTTGTTAATTAACTAACGTTCGTAACTTTATTAATTGTTACTATTACAAAATGTTTCATTCAATCTAGCTATTGATATTTCATAATTAATTCGAATTAATTATAATTAATTATTATTTAGTTAATGAAAATACTGAAACGACACTTTTTCAGATCTAACTTTATTTTATCGATTCCATAATTTCAACTCCTAAAAAGTAAATCTCAACCAATAATATCGTTATTTTAAATGAATAACTCCTAAATTTAACACACTCTGCAGATTGCAACAACATCAGAAGCACACTTAAGATTAAACTTTTTTTGGAATCAAACGAAAGAACGAACAAAAACAATATGGCTAAAAATTGTGGAAGATGTAACAAGGTTGTCTACCCGGCAGAGGAGCTCAAATGCTTGGATAAAGTTTGTCCTATATTTGCAAATTTCTTTTTTAAACTTTATGTCAATTTAATTATGTCAATATAATCTACCCTCATTCATTTTCATGTGAAAATTCATTCATTTACAATAAAATTAACATTAAAAAATGAAACATTAAATCGTAATTTAAGAGTGTTTAATTCATAAATCAATTGATTGATGAATAAATAAAGAGAGAATTTGACTCTTAGGCTCTCGTTCTCTCTCTCTCTCTCTCTCTCTCTCTCTCTCTCTCTCTCTCTCTCCTCTTTTACACACAAACAAACGCACAAACACACACAGACCTGGCACAAAATGTGCTTCAAATGTACCGAATGTGGCATGCAGCTGACTTTGAAGAACTACAAAGGGTTCAATAAACTGCCCTACTGCAATGCGTTAGTACCACACACATCGAACTTATTTCGTAACCATTTTTAACTTAATTATTTACAAATTTTATCATAATTATTATTATTATTATTACTTGCGTTATCTATCCACACACACCCACACACAGCCACACACACACAGCCACACACACACAAACACAAACACACACAGCCACAGTCCACAATTGAAAGCGACGACAGTAGCGGAGACACCGGAGCAGAAGAGGTTGAAGCAGATTTCGGATATGAACAGCCAGGTCGGTTACAGTGAAAATGGTTGTAACTTTTAAACACACACGTACACACTTACACACACATCACGCACTTACAAACACGTACGTACACACGCACTTACACATACCTGTACACGTAAAAATCTGTACACACCCAAACGTACACATATATATGTATACATTCATTGGCAGACGTTAATATTAATTATTAATGCATAAATATGCGAGCAGACAAAAGCACAGCCACCTCAACACGCAATACAATCATTTATGAACACCACATACCAAAGGCAAATCAGCTAAACTTCACACACAGCCACACATTGTAACACACAAACACACACATGCACACCCACTCTCTCTCTCACACACACATACATACACAAACTCACCCACACACACAAATTCACACACACACACAAACAAACCAGGTTCTGTACCAAAAAGATTACAAGAGTAACTTGGGTAACGTAACGTCGATTGCTGATGATCCTACCACACAAAGAGTCAAGCAACTCGGCAACCTTAGTAATGTTAAATATGCTGATAATCGCAACGAAGGTCACTTTATTATTATTATTATTATTATTATTATTATTATTATCATATTATTATTATTTTATCATCATCATCTAAATCATCACCCTTATCATCATCGTCATCGTCTTCTTCCTCAACTTAATATTTTCATAATAGGCCATTATAATTACCTAAGAACTATTATTAAAAAAGGGAGCTAGATCCTATTTTGGGCTTTGATCGCCATCATCCTGCTTCTATATACTTATAAATTATAACTATAACTATTATTATTATTGTTGTTGTTATTATTATTATTGTTATTATTACTTTTATTACTACGGTAAACGCTTCAATAGGACACTTATGTGAATGAAATAACGTAGCTAAAGACAGTAATTGCTTAAAATACAAATTTGCGTTTGAATAAAGCAAATAATAATCATTAATATAATATTATTAAGAATAATTAAAATAATAATAAAGATAATTATTAGTTTAATTATTATTATTTACATTATTGTGCTTTATTTGAAACAGGCGCCAGTTACACCCGACCAACAAGAAGTGCTACTGATGATGATGGTGGTAATTTCCTCCGTCAATTAATTAATTAATTAACTAATTGATTAATTGATTAATCAACAAACAAATTTATGAATAATATACATGAACGGGTGCATGAATGAACAAATGAAAAATTTAACGAATGAAAGACTGGACAAATGATCGAAAGAACAAATGAAGAGACAAATGAAGAGAAGAACGAACGAATAAATGACTAAATGAATGAATAAACGAACGAATGAACGAGCGAATGTATTTACAGAACAGGAAGGCCATGGATACGGAGAAGAAGTTCCTTACCACCAAGGAGGAGAGGGCGGAGAAGGTGGAGATGAAGTGAGTTTCTCTCAACAAATTTATTATCATCAATTATCACCACATCATGATTATCATCCCATCGTAATTATCATCATCTTGCAAACTTGTATCAAAGCACGAACGTTAATTCAAACGGTCATATTATTATTCAATCAAAGCCATTATATAACACGCAGTTAACTCAGCTTCAATCAATTTTATGACTAAAGTTTCTTAAAATCCATTTTAAACTTTGCAAACGATAAATGTTAATATTAGCAACATAACAATGTTGAAATTAATAATAAATAAACGATCAACAAACAACTTAGGGCCTGTGCTACAGAGCCATGTTCGATTACGACGCTACGGATTCAGACGAAGTGAGCATAGCCGAGAATGACAAGATCATCAACTGCGAGGTCATAGACGAGGGCTGGATCATGGGCACCGTCGAGAGAACCGGCTCTAGAGGGATGATCCCCGCCAACTACGTCGAGGCCATGTAGTTTTTAATTATTTTGATATAATTCGCCCGTGAGGCACGATGAGAAAATTAACTATTTTCTGTAGCGATCATGATTAATTCTGATCCACTATTAAGGCTTTCAATTATTCGTATGTTTATTGGATGCGTAATTAAGATGAAGTTTAATGGAACATAATTTGCTTCGTTTTGGCTTTAATTTTAATACTTTTGTTGAGAATTTGAATGTATTTTTTGTCATATATGAAAATTGTAATAACATTTTGGCGAAATAAAATAATCAAACTATGTTTAATTTGTTATTTTTCACATAGGCTAACTGAATTAAAGATCATACCGCCATTTCAAAAAACTAATTTATGCATATTTGTTCAATTTAACGGTGACAAGACAAGAAAAACAGTAAACCTTAATTATTACTGAGTTTATTACAAATTAAAAACGTAAACCACAAAAACGGACATATCTGAAATTAAGAACACAAACACATGCATGCACGCACACACACACAATCAATTATTTTTTTCATAAATCACTGCTGCATTGGCTCAGCTTGCTTCTGCCCTTGCTTCTCAAGTTCTGTCCTGAAAGGAAAACATTTCTTATAAAATTAAACCTTATTTAAAAAAAAATTAAAAAAACCAAAACAATCGATGAAAAACGATTTAAATAATGTAAAAATATAATTAATGTACCTTAGTTGTTGTGAGAAGTCATCCTCGACGTTATCATCATCCCAGTTGTCTTCCCATACATTGATGTCACCCTGGTCTTCGTCGGCACCTGTCCAATCTGAAAATTTATTTAATAAAAAATATAATAAATTAATTAACTTGGTATAAAATATGCATCACCAAAAGTAGATTTTGCTCACTCATAGTTTTGACATTGACTTATATATACTGGGAGTTACTCATGTCATGTTTATGTTTCAAGTGATAATAAAAATAAATGACCAAAATATCCTGACTATTTTTAGAATCATAATCCTATCTTGAACAAATTTTTACTTAATGAATAAAATTTTATAATAAATTAAATAAAATCAAAAAAAAAGTTAAATCTTATTTAAAAAGATGTACTAGACTAGTCTAACAGACTAGAAGAATTAAAATTTAGAAACAATAAGATAAAGAAAGGGATTAAAAAAAGAAGGGTGCATGAGTGCATGACACTTAACATAACTAACTATAGGACACACTATTTGACTATTACGTACATTTTATAATTTATATAATATTATAATATATTGGTCTATCTATCTATGAAAGCATGACAGGACTATATTTTAGAAACAAGATATTTGTAACCTTCGGTTTGTAACCATTTGTAACCTATAGGACACACTATTTGACTATTACGTACATTTTATAATTTATATAATATTATAATATATTGGTCTATCTATCTATGAAAGCATGACAGGACTATATTTTAGAAACAAGATATTTGTAACCTTCGGCTGGAAATTCTTCAAATTCGTCATCTTCTTCTAACAAACCAAGATCAAGTTTTTTATTCTGTGCGTCAGCCATCTTCCGAAACCAATTTTATACGGAGAAAGGCTCACAAAATCTAAAAAAAATAGTAAAACCGAAGTTAAGTTGGGTAAGATTGCAAAACAATGTTCATTGATAAATTTTGGTTTTTTTTGAACCCATGGATATATATATATATATATAACCATGTTTAAACCATTTTCAAATGAATTTTTATTTTATAAGTTAATAAAAGGTTTAATTTAACGTAATAAAATTATAGTTCAATAAAAATTTAGCTATTTTATAATAATAATTTAAACGAAACTGCGTTTTATATAAAGGAAAATGTTTTTCAATTAACAAACATACTTGGTATTCCATAATGTGATGTTTTTTGTACTAATTTAAAACATCATTCTATTTTCATTCAGGCGCTGGATTTGTTTTTCAAAATAATTAAAAAATTAACAAATAAATATTAATTTAGGCAAATTTTTGTTTAATTTACAATTTAAATATTAATAATTAAAAATGGAAGCAGTTAAGGAATCATTTTTCACAAATTTGCTTCTGTTGGAATTCGATCCATTGGCTATGGGACTCAAACACAGGATTGCTTTCAACAAGTTGTTCCCATTGGTCCCATGTTTATTTTCTATCTTCAAAAACAACCAATAATTTCCGGATTTTTTCAATTTTTATAATTTATTCCACTCATTTGAAATTGTCAATTTATAAATCTATTAAGTATTAGGCATTAGCTATGTAAATAAATAAATTTTTGATCATACTATTAAATAGTAACTATTTCTATATTATATTTTCCTTGCATTTGACCTGATTTGGGTTTGTAGTTTGAAACTGCACTGTGTACTATACTGTACCAATGGTTTTGTTATAATATAACAATAACTTATAGTTATACAATAGTTAAATAATATAGACTTAAATTGAATATTATAAAAAGTAATATTTTATATCAGTTATTCATTATTGTATGCATATTAAATTTAAGTTAATTGGTTATTAAAATTAAATGTTTTAGTCATAGCTAATGATCAGTTATTCATTAATTAATTTATAAACACAATGTAGGGACATGTTCATGCTTCCAAATAAGAAGGCTCTGGATGAGGTGCTCTATTTTCTCTTCAACAAACTGGACCCAGTCAGGTGCTACTCTGATTTCAGGTTCTAAAAAATTTAAATAGAATAATAAATTAATTAATAAATATTAATTTAATATTTAATTTTAAAAGTTCATTCATGTTTGGTAGATTGCAAAGATTATTGAATGTTAAAATGTTAATAAATTTAAAAATTTTTTTAATTTTTCAACTAATCTAGAGATTGTTGGCCAATATTGGATAAAAAACAAGAGCAACATTTTAGAAGACAAGTAACTAACTGGCTCAATCAAATCACTAAAGTTAGACATTTTCATTTATATTTCTAGCTATATTTAGTGACCTCATTATAGTATAATAACCTCATTATAATATAATAGCTACTTCATTGTAATATTATAATTTCAGGTTGATCCGCAGGCCAACCTGCCTAGATTAGTGACAATATTTTTATCACCCAATGGTGACAAACTCTACAATTACCTGCTCTCATTTTCGAGATATGTTCTACAATGTTCTTTGTCCTCCAAGTTTAGTTAGTTTTTTTATTCTTTAGTTTTCATTATTATTATTATATATATTTTAGTTATTATTATTGTGATTGTTTTTGTTAAATTATAACAATTTTTCAACTTATTTAAACCTTATTCATTTTTGTAACTAACTCCCAGACAAAATGATCTGCAAGAATTTCCTTGCCTTTCCTCCCCAAGTGGCATCACAAAGTACTCAACTGATTAGTGAAAATATTGAAAGAATGTTGACAGCGGCAGCAAACGTTGAGGCCAAGAAGCATGAATCGTCTGTCAAAGATTTGGAAAGGGCTCAAAACATGTGGCAAGAATATTCAAAGTTTGTGCTTGTTTGACTGACTGCTGATTCCCAATTTTGTTCATTTGCTCAATTTCTTCATTCTCCTGAGAAAAACAAAACTAAACTTATAGTGAGACAGTGTTGAGGTACAGAGAAGACGTGAAATCCATCAGAGAGTTGGAGCAGAGAATTTGGCAAATCAAAAAGTAATCACCTCTCATCATCATGATCATCATCATTATTATGATTATAATTATTAGTATTTTATTCTGTATTTGTTCATATTGTTTTTATTATTATTCATATTATTGTTAACATCATTAAATATTTTTTTCATACTCTTTGAATGATGTATCTATTCATTTCAGATCCATTTCAAATATTCCCAAGCAATATCTTGATATATCAGCTGAAAGAATATCTAAGGTATTATCATCATTCATTTAATATCATCACATTATCATCATTGTGATATCATAAAATTCATTCATTATGAAGGTCTTATCATTCATTTAATATCGTCACATTATCATCATTATGATATTATATCATTCATTCGCTATAAAGGTATTATCATTCATTTAATATCATCACATTATCATCGTGATGACATTATATCATCCATTCGCTATAAAGGTATCAAAGGAAGTGGATAAATTAACCTCAGTGGCCTCACATGTTCTCAGCAATCGAGATATAGTATCATCTTTCGTAGATGGCAGAGTCGGAGAGCATAGGTTGGATGCTAATGATCTGAAGGTTTCGATATCAAAGGAATTTATGAAGAGATGCAAGCAACAGTTAGTTAATGTAAGTTAGGAATTTTTTGGATTTGTTTATTTTTAGTTGTGGTGTTTTACAGTTTGTATGTGGAGGTGCTAGGATTTTTTTTTTTCACGAACAAACAGCCTTTTTTCAGATAAATTTATATCTATTTAGAAAACAATCTATAAAACAAATTAAAATAAATTAATTTCATTTATTTTTTCAGAAAAATCTCAACAACTTATACAGAGATAGAAAGCTAGACCTTATGAAGTGAATATTTAACATTGAATTCACATTATAAACAATGACATGACAACACATATACACATACACGCACACACACACACGCACACACACAGGTTTATTCAGTTGTCAGATGTTAATTTGAAACATCTCAATGACACCATTAAGAAAGGTGATTGGCTATACCATGCTTCCATTATTATTTATTACGTGAAAATATTTTACAATAATTAATCTAACAAATACTATAATTTTGTTATTTAATTATTATTTTTTAAACACAATTATAATTTTAATACTTTCACCTATCTTCAAAACAAGATGGCAGCCAGTCGAGTTTAGATGAGTCAGTGGAGAAGATGAGATTGATGGTTGATAACATGAGAATGAATCTTTTAAAATCTCAACAAATTAGGTAACTGGTTGGTAATGACGATGTGGTCGATGATAATGGTGATGATTAAGATGAGGATGGTGAAGATGATAATGATTATGATGATGTGGATGAAGATGAAAATGATGACGCAGATGATGATGGTAATGGTTACACTAACAAAATTTCTCAGCCAAAGCCTTACGAACAAGTTGATGCCTCATATGAAGGCTTCCACAACAGAACTCAGGGAATCAGCTACTAAAGATATCAACAACAATTCTAAACTTTACAAGGTTGTGTTTGCATATTTTTGGCACCATCTATTAGTTTATCTCTTTTTTTTGTCATTCCATTGAGCTATATTTGTATGGAGGAACGTTTTACCTCGGGGGAACTGGGTCTCTGGATGCTAAACGAAGATTGATTGATTGATATATTTGTATGGAGGAATCATATTTTGTTGCATCGTTCTATGCGAAATTTACCAAATTTTTAGGGTACTTTTTAAAGAAAATTTTTAAATTAATAATAAATTCTAAAATCTTAAGAAAATATATACTTTTTTCCTTGATTGAAAACAGTTACCATGTGGTTTCAAGCTCTTCCCTACAGCCTGCCATCTCTTTAAGGATGCTACAGTCAATGTTTCATCAGCAGCAGCAGTATGCAGTCAACAATCATTTATCCCAAATTTATTTCAGTGGGGTAGTATGAGCTCTGAATATAATGAGGGTAATTTTATTCTTTGTTTTGTTTTTGCAATTCGTTTGAGAGTTACCCTATCATTATTTATCCATATTTATCATCATTTGATGATATAAGTCGGATCTAGTTTTCATTTTGTTATCACTTTTTATGGAATATCATTTTTTTCAGCCGTAACTCAAGACGAGGCAAAGTTATTTTTGAAGAAAATTAAAGAAGATGTAAGGAGGAAGGCAAAGACTGCAGAGAAAAATGCTGAAGTAAGAGTGGATAAAAGAAAGCTAAATAGAGATAGTAATGTGGATGAGGGTAAGGACAGTCTATCCAATACCTCAGTCTCCATTAATAATCCACAACAACTAACGACAATGAATGATAAACCAATGACATCAACAACACGGATGTCTTTAAAACTTCAAAAATACATCAACACAAGACAACAACAGCATAAAACATCACAACAGAATGAAATTGAACAACAACAACAAACTCAACAAAGCTACAATCTTGCATCTAAACATGCCACAAATGCTGCTACTACAGACGCTGCCGATGCCAGAGATGATGTTCTAGCAGATAAGGTGACTTTACATTACTTTACATTTCACACTTCTGTCACTATTTTTTTCAACATTTTCATCTGCTTTCTGTTGATTCGTAATAAAATTTCTTAAAAATTTATTTATTTATTTATTCACAAAACCAGAGGGCTAAAAAAAACCACTTATCCGGTAAGAAAAATGAAAAAAAAAATGTTCGAAAAATGAATCGTACGTCTATGAATTAAGTAAAAACATAGGATAATAACAGAGATCGATGCACAATGATCGTAATGAATAATGAAAAAGTTTATAGTCAAACATAGAAGATAACTTCATAACTTAAAAAATGTACTACTGATATTATAATTGGTAAATGATATGACAGTTTTAGCCAACAGAGTTGGTTAGGCATATATGTAAATATTAAACGTAATTTAACAATACATCACATTATAATTAAAAATCTATTTAAATCAATAGTGAGTAAATGATTTTTGAAGACAGCAAGTGAAGTTGAAGACACTACGTCTGCCGGCAATGCATTCCACACTCGGATAATCCGGATACAGTAGAAATATTTTGTTACGTTGTCTCCAGCGTTGAAATCTTGCAGTCGACATGGGTGACCGCGAGTTGACAGATAATGTGAAGGGATGAAAAAACCATTTAAATCTGTGTTGATGAGGTTGTGTAGTATTTTGTACAGCAAGCACAAATCAAGAACCAATCTACGCCACTCAAGTGTTTGTAGTCCTACCGCTTGCAATCTAGACAAATATGGAAGATGACGAATTGACGGAATGAATTTGGTAAATCTTCTCTGAACATTTTCAATCTTGGTTATTTGATATTTGTAGTGCGGATTCCATAGCGGTGAGCAGTATTCAAGTAGAGGACGTACATAACTGCAAAAAGCCTTCACAAGTAGATCCTTATTCTTAGA